GCAGCTAATTATATGTAAGCGTGAACTCGTGAAATGATGTTTTATTAACAAGGTTCGGGAGGAGCGCGTCAGATAATTAGCCTAATTAACACAGGTGGAGCGCACTCAAGTTAATCAACACCATGGCATAAATACAGCCTCTATCCATTGACGGTTTATCAGCATCACCTCCTCCGCCCCATCTCCTCACTTTGAGTTCATACTACACTTATACGGGGGGTACTCTAGGTTCGGGCCATTCCCGAGCTTGGAGCCCTTCCCTGGACAGCACGCCAAATATGCATTACCATACTTCAGCTAATTATATGTAAGTGTGAACTCATGAATGTGCATTTGATCAGATATAACTGCAGTACAAGATTATGAGATGCATTATTTGAATGCTTGGCCAAAGGTGATGTTTTATTAACAAGGTTCGGGAGGAGCGCGTCAGATAATTAGCCTAATTAACACAGGTGGAGCGCACTCAAGTTAATCAACACCATGGCATAAATACAGCCTCTATCCATTGACGGTTTATCAGCATCACCTCCTCCGCCCCATCTCCTCACTTTGAGTTCATACTACACTTATACGGGGGGTACTCTAGGTTCGGGCCATTCCCGAGCTTGGAGCCCTTCCCAGGACAGCACGCCAAATATGCATTACCATACTTCAGCTAATTATATGTAAGCGTGAACTCGTGAAACACATACTATAAAATTCAGATTTTCTTTTCTTTCATATGTGCTTATATGGGCTCCTTATATCATTTGGTTCTTTGGTGTCCTTTTGGAGTTTCTAAGTGTCCTTTTTTGGAAAGACATCTAAATTTATCTCGAATATTTTTAATTACAGACAATGCAGACTGATGTCAAACTTAAGGCCAAGGCCAAAGGATTCCTTAATATCATCAATGATGGTACACTTGTAAAGTTCTCCTGCCTCCTGTATGACATTTTGACACACCTCAGCAACCTGTCAGTCACACTGCAGAAGTCATTAGTGACTTTGGCTGAGGCTGAAAGCTGCCTCTCCTCCACTCAGGCAGTTTTACAGAAGTATAAGTCAAGGTGTTCATTCTGAATTATGTTACGTGGTGTTACGTTTCCATCATAAAATTATTAATTATAAAGGAGTAGGTGGCTCCTTCTGTGCGTGCATTATTGTCACAAAGTCTAAAATATGCTTACCCTAGACCAGGGCCTAAGTTGAAGTCAGTGCTGGAAGCTGATACATATGAGAACGTCCACCTGAAGCCTGCTAATGCTAAACAGCTGGATATGGCCAAGAAACAGCTTATAGATTCTCTGTGCCAGCGCCTCACTGAAAGACTTGGGGATGTAAACAGTGGTGTCCTGAAGGCTATGCGACTGATCAGTTTCCAATGCTAGCCAGATGCAGACATGAGTGCAGGTTAGTAATTAAATGTATAAACTTTAACCAATACCTTTTAATAGGGAAGATAGCTTGACAGTATAATAGACAACAACATATTTTATAAATATTATGTATTTTAGACTTTGGTGACACTGACGTGGAAGAGCTCACACATCATTTCAAGCCTCTTCTCTTGTCAGCTGGAGTGGATGTTAACTTGATCCCAGATCAATGGACTGTACTAAAGTCACGACTGTACCAGCAAATGGGGCCTTTAGAGAAGATAACCTGGCCTGCTGTGAACAGGATTCTGGGCCATGAGTGTCCTGATATTCTTCAACTTTTTGACCTCATACTTGCCATCCCATCATCTTCTGCTGACTGTGAACGAGGTTTTAGTTTAATGAAGTTGATGGACAATATGGTCACAGACGCACACACAGACACAGAAATTAAGTGGTTAAACTATTATATTAATGCTTATTAAACATGCTCTCACTCTCACACACACATACACGCATGCACACACATTTTGTTGCACATATAGATTACTGAAATAAATGGTAGGTAAAAAATGCTTACTGCAAGTCTTCTCTTTATAAGAGTTTATATATATAATTTTCAGGTTTCACTGTAATCATAATGTGGCTTAATTTTAAAAACCGATATGAGATAATGATTTTATACTGTCTAAATGTAAATCCAAAAGTAAAACACTGAAAAGCACTATTTTAGTGACCCTATTAGTGGTCCTCTGCTGCCTTTTAGTGGTTATAATTGCAATTTCAGGGAGTTTACCATAGAACGTCTCAGGTTATGCATGCAACCATTGTTCCCTGAGAAGAGGAACAAGGGTGCTATGGGGGATGCCTCTGGCATGACCGGTGTCTGAAGCATCAGTCTAAACACGACAGTGAACTTGACATTGGCAGGCAGCAGCCTTTGACGTCACAACTGGTGCGACCGAGAGTATAAAAGGGCACCTGTAAAACATGTCATCCACTTCTTGTCTGAAGGAAATGTGCAGGAATTCCCAAAGCATGGCAAAGGGATGCAGCGTCTCGTTCCCCTTCTCAGGGAACCATGGTTACATTGAGAACGTCCACCTGAAGCCTGCTAATGCTGAACAGCTGGATATGGCCAAGAAACAGCTTATAGATTCTCTGTGCCAGCGCCTCACTGAAAGACTTGGGGATGTAAACAGTGGTGTCCTGAAGGCTATGCGACTGATCAGTTTCCAATGCTAGCCAGATGCAGACATGAGTGCAGGTTAGTAATTAAATGTATAAACTTTAACCAATACCTTTTAATAGGGAAGATAGCTTGACAGTATAATAGACAACAACATATTTTATAAATATTATGTATTTTAGACTTTGGTGACACTGACGTGGAAGAGCTCACACATCATTTCAAGCCTCTTCTCTTGTCAGCTGGAGTGGATGTTAACTTGATCCCAGATCAATGGACTGTACTAAAGTCACGACTGTACCAGCAAATGGGGCCTTTAGAGAAGATAACCTGGCCTGCTGTGAACAGGATTCTGGGCCATGAGTGTCCTGATATTCTTCAACTTTTTGACCTCATACTTGCCATCCCATCATCTTCTGCTGACTGTGAACGAGGTTTTAGTTTAATGAAGTTGGTGAAAACTGACTGGTGTGCAAGACTGAAGGCTGAGACACTCTGTGACCTTCTTACTGTCCAGCTGAACTCTCCTGATATCATGCACTTTGATCCCACCAACGCCACTGAGATATGGCATGCAGAGAGTTTACGCTCCCACAGACCAGAGTTCACACGCAAAGACTGAGCTGAAAAACAACACTTCCTTAGTGACACAGATGACTCTGAAGATGAGAGCTCTGAGGACATCTGAACATTTGGTTAACCTAAAAGGCAGTGTTATTTTGAATGAATGAGAT